GAAAACCGAGTGTATCGTTGTAAAGCGGCGAACAAACAAAGCGATTGGTCCGTGAACGACGGGGCTAGGAACGAAACGAAACTCTAGAGGGATCCCGTGTGCCGAAAGGAGAGCAGCCGAGAAACGGAGACTCGTAAAAAGGGTACTAACGCCACGCAAGACGATCCCACGTCGAGATGACGACATCCTGGCGCCCTGATCCCCGACACCTCCGAACGCGCCCCATAAAAATCTATTCTCATCTGAAATATTTCCAGACGGGCTGCCGCTCTGACTTTTTTACCTGCGCGAATCGAGAGGAAACTAGTCCCTCCTGCAGTTGTAATATTGCAGGCGATAACATCCCGATGCGATTCCGAGACCATTACAAACGAGATTCAATTATCGAAATCATAAATTCGCTTCGATACATCGCGTATCAAAATGTAACACTAATGCAACCTTACAAAAGAGAACATTTCAATGTTACGATCTGATAAGTCCGAAGTGTATTCACCAGGAAGGGGAGGGGGAGATCTCGCCGAGGGTAATGTTTCAGTATCGCCTAATGATCCTTAATCATTCTAAAACCATCTTTGACACACGCGAGATAAATTTAATAGTGACCATTAAAGATGCGAACGGGAATATATCTCAGCCGTGTATATTCTACACTTCAAAGCACGCACGATCCATAGAAAGGCGGGACAGGTCGTTTGGTGAGTCGTCGCGAGAATAAATGATCTCCGTAGGTCGAATCCGAGTCGCGGATGAAAGCGCAACCGTTCCCTCTTCTCTCGTCGGACTTGACCGAGCGTTCGTTCGTCGGAGAAATACGTCGAATGGTAAGAATGCAATTACGAAATTAAACGAGAACTCTGATAAATACGCGCCGGGAGAACGGCAAGAATGGCGCCGGGAAAAAGAGCGGAAAGAGGGAGAAAGGAGGAGGGAGGGAGGGAGGGAGGGGAGGGGGAAGGGGGAGGGGGAAGGGGAGAAGGAGAGAGAGAGACAGAGAGAGAGAAAAAGATTGCTGCGAAACATGCGGAGCAAAGGGAGGCGGAAGAAGGAACGGTTAATTTGTTGTGCATCAGCAGCACCAGCAGCTACGAAGACAAGCTACAGAGAGAGGTACCGGGGCCATACTAAGAAAATAACTAGAGATAATTACGCGCATAAATCAGAGTGTTAATATTCGGGGGCGTAGGTAGGAGGCGCAGGTAGATATATTCGCCTATAGGTAGGTAGGCAGGACCCGTGGATATATACGGGTGGAAAAGGAGAAAGGGGACGAGAGGTCGGACGAGAGGAGAGACAGCGAGACGGAGAGGGTAAGAGAAGAGAGCGGAATAATGCCAACTTCGGATCGGTAGATCATTCGTGGCCGTTGGATACGCCTCCTTGTTAGTCTGGGTTTACTTAGTCCTTCGACGCTCCTACGACGTGCGTTACGCCCGCTAATAGCCCACCGGTAACGAACTACCGTCGACCTTTTTTGAGGACCTTTTAAGCGAAAACGCGTTTCTCTCCTCTCGCGCTGCCTCTTATCGATCATGGCCGTCATCGCGAGAAAGGATCGCTCGGTGGAGTCGCCTCTGAAAGCGAATTCCTTCCCACGTTTGCCGCGCGTTGCTCCGACCGAAGGGATATACGCCACTTAAGGAGCAGGGCGATATTTGTAATTTATCGGTCGCAAATGGAGGGATTCGCGCGAGTAATTCGTTTGGGAGTAGTCTGTACGCGCGAATTATTTCCAGTCGTCATCGTCGTGATGCCCGTGCTCGTAATCGCTCGACATTCTCGACAGGTTCGTGCGATATCGAAAAATTTTTTTCTCATCGACGAGGGTGTACCAACGTATACCAACGGTGGCGAAGCGAAACAAAACGGGGAAGAGAAAAAAAGGAGAAAGGGTGCACAGTGGCGTTGAAACACTCATAACAGGTGGACCGATACTCGGCACGAAGATACATCTTCAAGGTGGGCGGTCCCACACTCCTTAAATCAGCCCGCAGCCACTATAACATTAAGCCCACCTCCTCTCTTACGGCACGTCTCATCTCCCGCCGTTTATTTGTTTGCTTAGAGCGAGTAATTAGAATCCGATACAAATGGTTATTATTTATCGGCACGGAGAGGCGAGCGGAGTCGACGAGAGCCCCTCGTCCCCGATACCGAATGCACGGAACGGACGGACGGGGCATACCTCCTGATTGCCTGGCGTTATTAAACCGGGAGATACCACGAGATAAATACACGGAGGCCAAACTCGCCAAACACCGGCCACTATATAACGTTACCGGCGATCCTTACTAACAGCTTTCATTCGCGAGTGGTGCAGAACTCAATTATTATTTACAGCGATGTCCTCGGCGAACGCGCTATTAATAATTCGTAGCGTTTTATAAAACATCTAACATCATTTGATAAAATCAGAATCAGCTCCTCCAACTTTATTCGATACTCGCCGGCGTATCGTCCTCCCCTGCGGGTATTCAAAATCGATATTTCAAGAACCGTTCGATTCTTTCCGAGGAATGAGAGATGCGAGCGCGAGCGAGATAAAAAGTTTCACAAGCGCAATCGGCGACAGTTGCAGCTGTCGAAGCATAGAAGCGGGTTCATGGAAATAAACGTAATGGGGTTCCCGATCGAACACAGGGGCCAGCCGCGCGTCACGTCAGACCGATGCAGCCGTCCTGCATTTCCGAGGAACGCGACTCACAGAGGCGAATCTATCGCGATGCCAGACGCGTCCGTTAATAAAGTATAATGGGCACACAGCGCCCCGATGACGATGACGTACACCTGATCCACGGAATAGCCGTCCACATCGAATCACGTAAGTCACAGTATACAAACAGATCTCTTTTTGTGTAAAAAAAAAAAAAAGGAAATGTAGATATTGCGGCCAATAGATTACAGACAGCAATAAAAGATGTTAAAATAAAAATATCCGATGTCTCTTGCTTTAATTTTTAAGATTCGCCGACGTTTATGATTTATTTTAAATTTGCAATTAAATTCGAATTTTTGTTTTCTCTTTGAGATCACAATTATTTGATGCTATTAATTGTTTGTTACACCAACAAAATCCTCGCGGATGATATCATTAATCAAATATCCAATAATCGTCCGATTTATTTATTCCGACGAAGGAACCCACGGGGGATACGCCGGGGGTAACGTTGATTAGCTCCGCTGTTGATTTAATTATCGGGAGAGTAATTGGCATGCCTACTGACGATCCCCTTCCCTCTCCCTCCTGATGCAGACATCCTCTGTCGCTTACTTCACTCGCTCTCCAGCACCCTATCGCCTCACACCCTCACCAGCCCAAACTGTTGCATATTCATCGATGATAGATTATTATATGTCTACGTGTCAAAGACTCGCGCAGCCGGGAACAATCGGTCTTGGACAATATCTACTCGATACACCCGACACATATCTCAAATTAAAATTTATACGATCGACGCAACAAATTGGCGACACTCGCTTTGTGTTCATTGAAATTGGCCATAAGTCTCTTCGAAAAATTGTCGATGCTCGAGTTTGTTTTTTTTTTTGCCACTCGCTTTCCAAGTATCGTAAATTGGTTCGTTCGCCTGGTTTATCGTACGTGTTTCGTAGAGAATATACGCGAATAAAAAAAAAAAAAAAAAAAAAAAAAAAAAAAGAAAAAAAAAAAAAAAAAGAATAGCCGGAAAAACAAACAACGACAGAGCAGTTCGTTGCCAATTTCCGTGAGTCCGAGACACGTCGCAAAAAGGGCACCGCGGACGGTTAGGTTCGTACGGCAGCGGTTATAGGCGAGCGTATATCGCGGCGATGTTATCCGCAAACACGCGGGTTCGGCCAATTTATCCCAAGGGATGAGGCCGACGTGGCACGGCGATGGTGGGTGTGGGGCAACCTTGTCCAGCGGAATGAATTCAGCACGCAGCCCCTGTGCGGTCGAGCCACCTCTACCCCTTTCGCTGACCATCTCCAACCACCGTGCAACGTCCCCACCTTTTGATCACTTCACCCTCTCGTCCGTCCCTTCCCCGTTTCTCGTTTACCCGATAGCGCGCGCGTTAAGGTCGCTTCAGAACATCCAGATAGAATAGAAAGGAAAAATATAAGTTGCGATATGAGAACAATTACTAAATTAAAGCAACAAAATTGAATTCGCAATCGATCGATTGAAAATATCGGTCTGCAAATCTTCTTATTAATTGTATCGCGAGATACATCGTGATTAATTATCATTAATGCAAAACGTATCGGATACTTTCTACCTTAATGTCAGCGGTGCTTCCATCGAAGGGGCAACCGCATGCCGCATTCGTAGTGGTCGAACCACTTGACAGGCGACGATTTATAATCGATACAAGTGGTGTGAATAGCCCTTAACCCGCTACCATCCGCCACTCCTGATCCGCTCCACATATCGCTAGCACGGTATACAACGGCCGCCTGATTGCCACGGGGGCTCTTAGATTTATTGACCTGTCAATGGCGGCGCGCGAAAACGGCGAATTTACAACGCCGCAGGTGTTAAGTTCTGCCGTGCGTGTAATAACGGCCTGATCCCCAGGCCTACGGTAAGCCACACCGTAATTATATTTCCGAACCTCCCGCCCGCTACCTTTGTCATTATCACCCGAGGTGGCGTAGCCGTAATTCAATGAGATCCATCGCGCGACCGCGCGTGTGTACGTGAGGCGATAAAGGCCCGATAAACGGCGCGCGAGTCTAGGAAATTTTAGCATGCGATGTAGCCGCTGCCGTTCCACGAATCGTATATCCCTTACACACAATGTTCCAAGATTGTTGCATTTATTGTGTACGCGTACGAGAATTAAAGGTCTAGGAAATAAGATAACGAGCGAATACGTACGAATTCAAAAGGAAAGAGCGAGATAATAATTATTCGTACGCGAAGAAATAAAAGTAAATTCAGTAGAACGTTCACGGGATTGATTTATGATTTAAATCTCGCGCAGGACGGAATAAAATGATATAGTTTATCCTACCTTGAGCCTGGTGAGACGAGGTTCCTCGGCAGCGAGCTTCGCCAGCGCCTGGTAGTCCCCCTGTGCCGCTCTGACCAGCCACTCCCGCGATTTTCCATCCAGTTGCTTCGGGAAAGCATCGATTGTGGCGATTATTAGCGATTAATGGCGCGAGGGATCGCCGGGATCGATCAGCAGTACGCGGAAGATCGAGCGGGCCCGTTCGATCGAGAGCGAGCGAATTTTAATTAAGATCCCCGGCCACGATCTGGCCGTGCATTTATCAGGGGCTGGGGCGATGCCACGTCCGACCGGGGAAGAAAATTACGGCCCGCGTGCTGCTGCGTCGCTCTCGTCAGATTGGCGCGCGCAATAATCGCGATCTGCGGTGGGTGATGAACTTACCGAGGCAACGGAAGCGCTGTCATCCTCGTCGGCGCCCTGCGGAGAAAAGAAGAGAGAGAGGAGTGGAGTTAGAGTTGATCCCTCGAAAAATCAACATTACGCGCCACGTCACGCGGACGCCCCGCTCGCGGGGCATGCGGCCGCAAGTCCGCGGCGAAAACCGGTCCGCTGTATATGGCATTGGCGCGTCGGTGCGCTCTTCTCGCAGAGAGAAAGAGAGAGAGAGAAAGAGTGCACTCTCTCTCCCTGTACCGCGTGCCACGATGGCGAGCATACGAAGTGCGGCGGGGCAGGCGGACCGCAGGGGAGAGATGAAAATGCGTGAGCGCAGCGGGAGGCCGCCGAGAGCGGGACGCGCGCGCTTCGGCCATCAGATTGATATACGGATCCAATAATTGATTCCCCGGCGCAAAAGCCTTGGGAGGCTGGCTGGGCCGCACGCACTTACGCAACCCCTGGCCGTCGTCCAAGACGTCCCATTTCGGAAACCGCCATCCCCCGTCCCCCTCGCCCCCCCCCTCTCCCCGGACACACGGGCAAATGTCGACGAACGATCCACGATCGCGATTATCGAAGCGGATGGAGCATAAAAGCACACTTAAGATACTTTCGATAAAACTCTTGTCGCGCACGGTGCTTCGTATCGCTTACAAAATTCTGCTTTTAACAGGGAATTCCCTATATGATTACGTAATTTTATTTGTACGTGTTTTCAAATTCACATATTCCGCGCTGCGATAAATCCTAATCTTAATAATATCCTTAACTAGATCTTGATAATATTCTTAAATCTCACACACGCATATGCACGTATACTATATACGTATACAACATAATACGTGAATAACGCTTTAACGAGAAACTCGCCGTTTAATCGCGCTCGGATACGGCGCCGATCGTTGGTGCAACGTTCCACGTTATACGTTACATATATATGCACGTGGTACGGTAGGATGACGCGACGAAGGAGGTGGCGGCGAGGGAGGGAGGAGGTTCTCTCCTGATCTCAGGAACGTTAAACGACTACTCATCCCTGTTAAACTGTTTGTATTTTCACTCGTCACGGCCACGTCGGTTGTTCGAGGTGCTCATATCGACACTCGACCCCGAATCAATCGTGACTCTTCATAAATTACTTCCACGGGCCGGCCGGGACGCGGGAGATGCGCGTTTGCACTTTGGCCGAGTCATCATTATCCGGCCACGATATATCTTTATCCATCGACAACATCGCGCGTGTCCTTAAGTGAAATCACGATTTGAAGGACGCGCGTCGGTACAAACGCGGGACGAGAGGGTGTCCGATATTCCAATATTAATCCAATTTCTCTTTGTCAAAAAGGAGAATACGTCACGTCGCGCGTGAGAGCCTTTCGATTTCGGAGATCGGAATCCTCTCTCGGAAATTCCGTCGCCCCCCCCCTCCCCCGAGATCGGCCGCGGAATGATAGCCACTGACCCCCCGTCGCGTCAGATGGTGCATCGAGGTGCGTTCCCAGCTTTCGTGCGCGCTACGTGTGCTCTCGCAAACACGTCTGTACGCGTGCGAATGCACAGATGCATGCTGATAGCACGGACTTTGTTATATGTATGTATCACAGAGGCCATGCCTCATCAGCGATGCAACAATTGTACTTGTGATAAAAAGACATTATTGCTTGACGGCGGTAAACGGATGCGGGTGAATTAATTCTTAATTTAACCTTTTCATAATCGCGACTATCTTATTATCATTAATAATCGGTACGCGCCTAAGTAAAAAAATATCTTCCTTTCTCCCTTGAGCGAAATACCTAAGAAACACCTGGTAAGAGAATGCATAAGTATCCCTGATTATTAAAAAAGTATATAGGAATATGTAATAATCCGATTTTCTCAAAAAAAAATCCTCCCCCATATATTTCAAGATTAATATGCAAATTGTCGCGAAATTATGCAAGCGACGGAGAACCCGAGACCGCAGCCCAGAGAGAGGACTCGTTGGAATTTTCGGCAGCCGGCAGCCTTCGACAAAAGATTTCGAAGAGAGAAATTCGAAAGCGTTACTCGAGAAAATGTTCTGATCTTGATATTGAGAATCACGAGATGTTCGCGATCGTATAATATTCTACTGTTCGAGACGCGCGCGTTGCTGATTGATTTTTAAACAATCACGCGATACGACTGGATTGATCTTCGATAAGATTCATCGAGGGCAAGGGACACTTGTTCGCTCGTATCTCGGACCTGGAGATATGCAAAATATTCTCTCTCTCTCTC